TCCCCTCTCTCTCTCTCCCCACCTTTCACCTCTCCTCCAGTTCTCTTTGCTATGCACCTCTTATTCTGGACTGTTGTCATACAAATAATGCCTAATCATATATTTCTTTTAAATATTTCTTTCCTTCATCTCTTCCAATACAGTGCTCATGACTTATAATCTCTTTTCTTAGTTTTCTCCCAACCTCCATGTCAGTCTTGTTTTATAACAGTGGTGTTATGCAGTATTTATCCTCTTGTGACTGAGATACTTCATGCAGCACAATGTCCTCCAGGATCATTCGTGTTATGTAATGTTTTATTAGTTCCTTGTCTTTCGGTGCTTCATAGTATTCCGTTCTGTGAATATAGTATTGTTTTTCTATCCATTCATCTGTTGAGGGCACTTGGATTGCTTCCATCTCTTTGCTATTGTGAACAATGCAACAATAAACATAGGTGTACATATAACTGGTTGGAGGACAGTTTAGGTTTCTTTAGGGTATATTCTTAGTAGCAGAACTGCTGGGTCAAATGGTATTTCTGCTTCCAACATTTTAAGAAAGTGCCATACTGCCTTCCATAGTGGTTGCACCATTATACACTCTCACCAGCACTAAATACGGGTTCCAGTCTCTTCACAACCTTGCCAGCATTTGTTATTTGCTGCTCTGTTGAACTTTGCAATTGTTACTGGGGTGAGATGACATCTCACAGTTGCTTTGATTTGCATTTCTCATAGAACTAAGGATTTTGAACATTTATTCGTGTGTTTGTTCACCATGTCTTCTTTGGTGAAGTGTCTGTTTATATCCTGTGTCCATTTTGCGATTGGGCTGTTTACCTTTTTTCTTGTTGAGGTGCTGGAGTATTCTATAAATTTTAGATATCACTTATCAGATATGTCATTACCAAATATTTTTTCCCAGTCTCCGTGGTTCCTTTTTATCCAGTTGGAGAAGATTTTGATGTGCATAAGGATTTGATTCTTAGAAGGTCTCATTCATCTACTTTATTCTCTCCTGATTGTAGGTGACAGAAGAAAAATTGACAGCTTTGAATTGTGGTGTTGGAGAGGGGCCCTGAATAGCCCATGGACTGCCAAAAAACAAACAGAAATGTCTTGGAGAAAATGTAGCCAAAGTGCTCATCAAAGCAAAAATGATAGATAGAGGTTTGCCTCCCATAACTTGGGCATATTGTTAGAAGAGGCTATTCATTGGAAAGATACATCATGCTTGGAAAAGTGGAGGGATGACAAAGGAGAGGATGACCCTCAATCAGGTAGATTGACATAGTGACTGCTACAATGGGTACAAGTATGTCAGATGCTATGAGGATGGCACAGGATAGGACAGGGTTCAGATCGGTTGTAGGGTCACTCACTATGAATCATACTCGACTCATCACCTCATAACAACTGTATAGATGTATCTGTGCAAATTTTAAGGGGTAGGTGGAGCTCTCATTTTAGTTCAATGAGAGATGTCAAATTTACAGTATTGTCTTGTTAAAATCTCCTCTGAATCAATAACTGAGCATTTCTCCACGGGTAAGTAACTACTTGATCTAGTGGGAGGTACATTTGCAAATGTTAATCAGAACTCGCTTTCAAAACCAAAAGAAAGTAGTGAAAAGAAGAACTAAAAACACTGTGTGGCATCTGTCATATGATATATTGAAACATTATGTGGGCTTATGTTAAATGTAAAATTGTCTAAGCTTCTATGGAAGCAATCTGAACACCTTCTGATTCTATCATGTTTTATTCTGATACTTCATTTGCACTTGTGTCTCCTAAACAAGAAAATAAAACCACAAACAAATAACTTTGTTTATTCTAAACAAATAACTGATTATCCAGTTCTATTATGCAAAAAAAATAACTGTATAAGTGAAGCAACAATTATCTATATGAGCTAGTCTTCTTGGATTTTTTTCCCTCCTTGAAAACTAACAAAAATTTTTAAAGGTAATTTAAGGAAGGCACATTTTGCTGGTTTTCCCATTTATTTAGGTGAGTTAGGTAGCTATTACTTTGACTTGAATTGCCCTCAAATTTAGTGGCTTCCAACTTACTGAATTTGTTGACAAACCTAGCTGATTTTGTCATTTATTGAGTTGCGTTTCTCAGCTTTTGCTCTGTAGCTAATTGCCCCCAAAATTAGTTGTTCAAAATAGTAAAGAACTTGTTGTTTCACACCATGGCCATGGGTTAGAAATTGGGGCGCAGATAGGTGATTTTGGCTCAAGATCTCTCATGAGGTTTCAGGCAAAAGGTCAACTAAAGTTTCAGGTCTCTTAAGACTTGACTGGGGACAGGAGGACCAAGTTCCACAAGGACTCACTCATGCAGCTGGCAGCTTGGTTCTTCCTGTTAGCAGGAGGCTGGAATCCACCAAGACCTCTTACTGGAGGAGTATCCTGTGTCTTCACAACACGGCAGCCGATTTTCTCCAGAATGAGTGATCCAAGGCAGAACAAGGAAGAAGTTGCAATGTTTTTTTATGGCAGAGCCTTGGTAATCACTCTCGGACCCTTTATGCAGCATAGTATTGACTACATGAGGTCTGTGATGGGCTTTCACACGCAGGATCATTAACATGCAGGGTTGGCACTCACTTGATACACTTAATACTTCCTTACATTTTGTGTTCTAGATGCCTCACCCTGTTTTTGGCCTAAGTTTCACAAGTCATCTTCATTTAGCAGTGGAGGGGAGTATGTAAGGATGTCACTGTCAGGAGATAAGGGGACATCTTGGAGACTGGCCACAATGAGAGCTAAGCACCTAACAAAGAATTTGGGTCATAGCAAGGGATTTCAACTGGCTAAGCAGTTCTCAACTTTGACTGAAGCTTTGAATCATGAGGAGTGCTGCTGTGTGGGCACCCCACCTTTGAGGTTCTGTTTTAATTGGTCTCTAGTAGGACAGACATGGTATCAAAACAAAACCAAAATTAACATCTCTTGTTTAGCCAAGGTGAAAAACTCTCTACTATTGAGTTGATTCCAACTTATAATAACCCTATAGGACAGAGGGTTTCTCAAGCTCTTATCTTTACTGGAGCAGGCTGCCTGAGTTTTTTCATTTAGAACAGCTAGTGGATTTGAACAGTTGATCTCTCAATTAGCAAAAGCCCAATGCTTAACCCAAAGTTCCTAGTTAAGGTGAATTGCAGTGTAAATAGTTGACCTTTCTGTTAAGAAATAGCCCAATGTTCAACTTTTAGCAAACATTAAGGTTCCTAGTTAGGAAGCACTGATGGCCTTGTGGCCTCCTGTGAGATTAATTGCCTCTGAAAACCAGCTGGAGGGTCAGCTATGGGTCACTTCCAACTCCATGGTAAACAATAAGAACAAGGTTACTAGTTAGGGTGAAGCACAATGTAAATGAACTGTTGTGACTGAACTCTTTACAGCTTGTGCCTACATTGTATTTATCAACAACATCTGTCCTTCCCTCTTAGGGTAGGACAACTGGAGAGGTGGTTGTTATTGTTGTTATGTGCCATCGACTCATAGCAACCCGATACACAGCAGCTCTGAAGCCTGCCCTGTTGTAAGCCAGTCTCACTGACTTGACACACTATGCTCACTGCCCCAGTTACTGTATCAACCCATCTCATCAGAGTCTTCCTTTTCTGCAGTTGTTCCTCCACTCTTCCGAGCATGATGTCCTTCTCCAAGGACAGGTCCCTCCTGATCACATGCTCGAAGTATGTAAGACGGAGCTTCAAAATCCTAGCCTCCAAGGAGAAACTTGGTTTCACTCTCTCCAAGACAGATGTATTTGTTTTCTTGGCAGTCCATGTGGTATGTTCAAGACTATTCACCAATGAACTGATGTTGATTATAGAGCAGATCTGGCAGAAGAAACTCTGGTTAATTATCTGTCATCTGCACACTGGTTGGACTGTTTTGAAACATTTAAAACAAAATCAACTCATTGCCTCCAAGTCAGACCTGACTTCTACAGAGCGGTTGGTGATTTCAAACCACAGTCCTTTGGGACTGCAGTGCAGATTTTTACCACTAGGCTACTAGAGCTTCCTTGTTATTTTAATAAGAGGTAGGCAATTGTTTGATGCAAGCATAGGAAAAATTCAAATGGAGAATACTCTTAGTACACGCAATTGCACAGGCCAGTGAAGTCATGTGTGAGTCTGCTTGAGAGCTATGGCTAGTTCTCTCTACCCCTTTCATTCTGGTCCACTGGTGGTGGTGGTTGTTGTGTTCCGTCGAGCGGGAACCAATTCATAGCTGACTCTCTAGTGAGTTTTCAGAGGCAGAAAAATCACACAGAATGAAATTTCTCATCTTTCTTTTTTAAGAATGGCTGGTGGATTTGAACCACATACCTTTGTTTTGGCAGTATAACTCCTTACTACTAGGCTACAAGAACTCCCTGGCATATGGCTAAGACCCTGAAGAAGGATTGGAAATGCAGATCTTGGGTGAGTTTTCTATTTTCCTCCAGTGAAAATAAGCAACAGAATTTGGTACAAAACCAAGTCACACTTGTCCACAATTCAGACCTCTTGCTAGGGCCTTTTGTAAGCTTCACCTTTTTTTTTTAACTCTTGTAAGGAAAACAAAATGAAACAAACAAACAAAATACCCTAGGAGAGTACTATAATTTTGTCAAATACTTTAGAATGCTGGCAGATGCCCAAAGAGACGAGGATTTGCTAAGGACATATGCTTGAAGTCATTGTTGTCACCTCAATCAGAGAACTGAAATGAAAAACAAAAATACTGGAAGGATTTTTTTTTATGACAGCAGCCTAATTTGCACCTCATATATAAGCAAGAAAATCCCTACAGGTTGCATTGGGCGTGAGAACCACACATCCTTTTGCTCTTTAAATTTCAGGCATATGCAGATGAAAGAGGGCAGGTAGCTAGGCAAACAGGTCATTTGCGTCTGTCACTCTTTTCTGTTGCAGCACAGACTGAGCTGGAGGGTGATTATATTAATAAATAGACACGTCCAGCTTCTCGTTGGGGTCTTGGCACTGTTCAGCTGTCCTGCAAGGTCTCTACGGAATAGAGAGTGTCCATCTCATGACAAGGCAGATCACTTCCGATAGGCTCTTGAATGCAAGTGTACTTGATGGGAGGTGGTGGTGGCTTGAAAGGTGGAGGTCTTTGCAAGCTAAAGGAAGAAAATAAAAAATCGATCTTTCAAGGCTAGGAATGTGAGGGGATGATTTTCTTGCCCCCCCACGCCTGCTCTTTTTTTTTTCCCTCAAAAGAAGGGCACAGATTAGTGGAGAAGAGATACAGATTTTCTTTTTCTGGTTTAATTCTCTGTTGTTTAGTCTTATCAGCTATTTGAACCTCATAATTAGACCATTAATTAATTTTGACATGGTAATTGATAACTTGCAAAGAATTTTACCATAATATTATTAACTATGTATCTATGAATTGGACAGGACTATTTCCATTTTACAGGTAAAATTGAGACTCAGAAAGTTTTATTATCACTTTTCAAGAGAGACACACCAGCATTTCAAATCTTTCAACCAGAAACTATACTTGCTATAGGGAGCTCTAGCAGCCTAGTGGGAAAGCAAGTCACCCAAAAGCAGGCAGTTCGAATCCACCAGTGGTTTGTAGGAGAAAGGTAGTCTGTTTCCTCCCAGGTGATTTACAGTCTCTGAAAACCCACAGGAGGATCAGCGATGAGTTTTCTTGTGACTCAACAGCACGTGCTCTCTCCACTGCCCAGTACATAGAGAACTGTGCTGCAAATCTCAAGGTTGATTCTCTCTGAGAGTCCAAATACACCAGCAGCTCCAAGGGAGAAAGACGGACAGTCCCTTACAGTGTGATTTACAGCCTTGGAAATCCAATGGAGGGTCAATACTCTCGATGGTAACTGCCTCTGACAGAAGATTTATTTTAAGTAGAGGCAAAATGTATTATTTTATTTTCTTCCAGGGGCAAAAATTTTAATATCCAGGAACTCAAACCAGAAATGTTTTAAATAGCTCTGCTTCCAAGGCAACCCTAAACCTTCACCACGAGCACCTTGTGTGCTGAGAGGTAAAGCTTTCTGATTCCTTGCATTGAGCAGGTGCTAGCTGGATAATGCCAGAATCCCTTCTGTCTGAATCAGCAAACATTCTTAAAGTCGACTATGTACTAAGCACTGCTCTCTGCTAGCACATCTGATCTTGCATCAGGGATCCAGGCTAGTGTGGGATTTAGCTGTACAAATACTCAACCCATCTGATGCCAAGACACAAAAATATTACTGTGAGCATTTTTACCGACCAGGGTAGTGTGGGATTTAGCTGTACAAATACTCAACCCATCTTGATGCTAGCATACAAAAAACATTACTGTGAGCATTTTTACCCACCACGACTCCTTCCACCAGGCCTGGTTATGGAAAGCTTCTCATGGAGAAGAGAGGAGATGGAGAGAAAGGAGAAGAGATGGCGGAGAAAAGAGGAGCGGGGAGCCGGAGATGTTTCTCATTTCTTTATAGCACAGACATCTGAATAAAGGATAGTGAAAACCTTTATTCAGGTTTATCTTCTAACTCTCATTTTCTTTTTCTTATTTATTTACTTCTTTGTTTGCTTATTCATTTACTATTGAATGCCATCGAATTGGATTCAACTGGCACAGGAGGAGATGGCCCCTCCTTCTCCAGCCGAGCATCTGATGGATTCTCGCGCGCATTCAGGATTGCAGCGCAGCTTCTTGCCCCTAAATCACCAGAGCTCCCTTTGATTCTCATTGATGAATCATTGGGAATCTTTATACTAAGAAAATGAGAATCAGAAAAGTATATTTGAATTCAATTTTCAATTTTTAGAAATGAAATTTTCTTTTTTAAATTTTTTCAATTTATTTGTTTATTCTTTTTATGTGTGTACCATCAAAATGGATCTGACTGGTACAGGAGGCGATTGTTCCTCCTTCTTCAGCAGAGCATCTGGTGGATTTGAACCGCGCACCTCTGGGATTGCAGTAGAAATGAAATTTTCATTTCTTTATTCATAGGGTTGCTATGAGTTGTAATTAACTTGATGGCAACTAGTAAAACAATGATTTTCAATCTGGTTTTCTTATGTTTTCATGGAGATGATACATACATACATACATACATACATATATGTGCTTCCATTTTTTGAAATGTAGTTCTTTTTGTGTTATGTACTATTGAGTTAGAATCGTCTCATAGCTGACCCTCCAATAGCTTTTCATAGCCCTTCTTTCTCCTGCAGTGCCGCTGGTGGATTTGAACTGCTTGTCTTTGAGTTGGCAGTACAATTCCTTACCACTAGGAGACTTGGAGCAAATAGGAATTTCTCGAGATTATAGGGTAACTAAGAAGTCCTTGGACAACTACCAAGAATTTCACCACAAGACACTGTTTATGACTAGAGTCTTCAAGGGTTAGAGTTTGCCACAAGTAGAAGAGGACAATCCACAGTGGTTTGGGTAGAAATGCTATCTCAGGCCGAGTAGAAACACCTATATGTAAGATCAGCTGTGTATTATGAGGTCTCCTGTAACTGTGGCCTAGTGTGGATTGACTTAAAATAGCAAGTCAGAGAAGTAAGGCTTGACCTTATATGCCATTTCAGAATGCTAAGTAGAAAATATTTTAAGACAACCAAAAGAGAGGTAACCCAAGGCTTACTTTCCTCCCACCCCTTGGGGGAAAGAAGAAAAGGTCCGTAATAGCCCACTCAGCTGAATAGCAGCTGGAAATCTCGGAAAATTACCTTTCTCACTCAATTTCACACTTGAGCATCTAGGCCCAGCTGGGCCCAGCCTGTTCAGAGATGCATGAAAATGAAAAAACTAATGAAGATTAAAAGAAAAATCAGTTTTGATTTTGGGGTAAAGTGAGGCTCAGTTCTCATTTCATGCCCACTGACTTGTTCCACCCTTTGCAGGGTTACAACTTGAACAGGCTGATGACGAGGAGTGCACGGAGTCAGGCGCTGCCCACCTAACCCAGCTGTGTGGCTCTGGAAAATCAGTATTGCCTCTCTGAACTTTGCTGAGAAATACTCCCTTTATGTGAAATATGAGAAAAAGTCTACATCATAATAATATTAAGATACTGAGTAAATATTTTGTTTTAAATGATAAGCAGTTCCTATGTACCACACTGTTATACTCACATTTCTTTCTGATACTGACACCATTTTCTCAGTGCAAGACCAAAAGGTACCATACAGAGAAGGAGCAAAGCTGCTATTATCACTGGCCAGGATGCCCCGTCCTTGGGCCTATTAATTTCAGTACCTGGAATAGTCAGGAAGAGAGATAAAGTTTAATGTCAAAATTTTGTGTTTCTTTGGAAAGTAGGATTAGTTGACTCTTTCCCCAACCTGGAGCATGTTTCCTTCAGGGCAACATCGTGCTCTTTTACCTTGATCACACTGTGGGTCATGCCTGAGGTTTGCTCTTATCTCTGTTTCTGCATTTAAACAATTACTTTTTTACATGAGTATGTTTTCAGTTGTAAACAACTGGCCATAGTCATTTTGATTACTAGCTATACATTTGAGACATGGAGAATGAATAGGGATGACAGAAAAAGAATTTGATGCCTTTGAGCTGTAGTGTTGGAGAAGAGCACTGAACATCCCATGGATGTCCAAGAGAATGAACAGATATGGCTTAGAGAGGGTACATACAGCCAGAGTGCTCTTTGGAGGCAAGAATGATGAGGTTTCACTTCACAGCTATTCCTTGGAGAGGGACATGATGTTGGGAAAGGTGGAGGGTCGGCGAAGGAGAGGAAGACCCTCAGCCAGGTGGACTGATACAGAGAGACTGCTCCAATGGGCTCTTGTGTGTCAGGAATTATAAGGATGATGGCGCATAATAGAACTGGGTTCAGATCTTTTGTTCATAGGGTCCTATGAGTCGTACTAACTCAAGGGCACCTAACAACAAAAATCTACAATGTTTCCAGTTACACTGTGCCAGAATTTATTTTTTTCTATTTTTTTAAGAATTGATCCTTTTTTTCACTCTCTTCCTCTTTAGTTTTTCCCCAGGCTCTAGATAACTTCTGACCTACAGTGCCCAGCAATATATTATTTGTAAAAAAGGAATAAATGAAATGAGAAGCTGTAAATTCCTCATTTTACATTTACTCCAATAAAAGGAAAATCAGATATAAAACAGTGGCCATATTTTTTATTTTTTTTACTCTAAGGAATCATAAACTCTTTTATGGGAGACATTAATGTGTCGGGACTGGAAAGAAAGTATAAAAGCATCATGATGCTCAGAAGAACAAAACTAACAAAGCCTGGATAACACCTATGGAGTTGTGTGTTATGCTCAAAAGACTCTTGAGAAGACTTTTCATTTCAGTGTTACCTTAGAATTGATTAGTGTATAAATCAGAGTATGAATTACCTCACACTTTTATATCTCCTTTTCCCTTTTTCTTTCCTTCCTTACTTCCCACCCCCCTCATTTCGGCAGTATAGTGGGGAGAAGGAACAAGAAAGATAAGACTGAAACTGGTTAGTTTTGTCTTTTCTATGGTTTGAAACAAGTATGTCTTGGGCAAAGAGACCAGAATGCTCCTTGGAAGAAAAGATAGTGGAGCTTTGTCTCACATATTTTGGTATGTTGTCCTGAAGGGTCAGGCCTTGGAGAAGCACATCATATTTGGAAAGGTGGAAGGTGAGAGAGGGAGAAGAAGATCCTCAACAAGATGGACTGACAGAGTCACAGGCTCAAGTATTTCAGAGATGGTGAGGATGGGAAGGAAAGGGCCAGGTTCAGATCCGTTCATGGGGTCACTGAGTTGTGGGCTCGATGGCACACAGCAACAACAAGGTCTGAACAAAGAGAAAATGGAAAACAAATGTCTAACTATTGGTCAGTGATTTCTTAAATCCATGCTGACTACATCCATACTCAATGCATTCATTAATTTTTAAGTATTTGAACTCCCTTAGGAAATAAAGATGTTTGTTTCTACCTGGCAGAGCATGAAAGAGAATGTTTATATTTACATGGTTACATATTATAATTTGTAAAAAATATTTCATGAATTTTATAAGCATTTAAATAGTGCAGAAATACAAAAGCACAATTTAAAAAAAAAGGCCTTCCTTTCTCAGAAGCCAATTATCAACCTGAGGCAATAAATGTTAATGCTTAATAATAAATCCTATGAGAAAATTTATTTAATATGTAAAAGTATGCATGTATTGTAGAGATTACAAACAAGGAAGATGCTATGTACCTTATTCTGTGTCTTTCGTTTTTATGTTAAAGTTTTTTTAATGCTTTCCTTAGCACTGTACACAGATTTATCTCATTCTATATCAAGGGTATCATCCAGGAAGAGTGCAAATGGCCATTACAAAGACAGAAGAGGAAGAAAAGACCAAAATGGATGTCAGAAGATACTCTGAAAATTGAACTGGAGCCCAGAGAAGCCAAAGCACAAGGAAGAATTCAAGATACTAAAGAGTTGAATAGAAGATTTCAAAAGGCAGTACGGGATGACAAAGCAAAATATTACAATGAAATGTGCAAGGAGTTGGAGTCAGAAAATCAAAAGGGCCGAACTCGCTCAGCATATCTTAAGTTCAAG